TAGGCTGCGGTTATTTCCCCTAGAGCATTGGAGGCTTGAGGGGTGATCTTATAGAAGATTATAAAATCATGAGGGACATAGAAGGGGTGAATAGCCAATGTCTTTTCCCCAGGGTGATGGGGTCCAAAACTAGAGGGCACATTTTTAAGGTGAGAGGGGAAAGATTTAAAAGGGACCTAAGGGGTAACTTCTTCACGCTGAGGATGGTGCATGTACGTAATGAGCTGCCAGAAGAAGTGGTGGAGGCTGGTACAATTACAACATTTAAAAGGCATCTGGATGGGTATATGAATAGGAAGGATTTAGAGGGATATGAGCCAAATATTGGCAAATGGGATTAGATTAATTTAGGATATCTGGTTGGCATGGGCGAGTTAGACCGAAGGGTCTGTTTCCATGTTGTACAGCTCTAGGACTCTATGGCTTGAATCATTAATTCTGTTTCTCTCCACAAATGCTGCCTGGCCTGCTTAATACTTCAAGAATGCCAAGTATTTTGCTCCCAAAATATTTATTTCTGTGGTTTTTGCACACAAAATGCAATTATTGACACCTGGACATAACTTATACTTCAACTTATTTACTGGGTAACTTAGTAAGCAGGGCAAAAATCAGTCAGGATTTTTTCATGCTTGCTATACATCCCCTGCAACCCCCATTCCTCCTTTCTGGTATAGAAATATTAGTGGACTTTGTACAAGAACAGAGCTGGCTTTGGTTGCAGTCCCCCCTCTAGTTGTGTATGCTATTGGGAGTCACTGTCTAGGTTCATAAACAAAAAGCTGCCACTTGTTTGAGTCACAGGGCATAATCAGTGTCTGTATAACAACCCTATGATATGTCTCCTGTTGAAATTGATCATTGCAGTTAAAGAAACCTTTACATGCAATAATCACTGATCATAACTTTACAGATCATTTCAAGCACTGCCTTGGTAATTGACATCTGTGGTCCACTGAGATTTCAAAAGGAAACAATGAATAACAAAGCATTACTCAACTCACAAGATGAAAGGCTAAATAGTTTGTTTGGATTCAGCTTTAGTACCTTGAAGCTTCTGTAATGGCCTGCTAACAAATATTAAGAAATGATTGTTTATTGTGGTTTCCTGAATCTGTCCAAGTAAATACAGTTTAATCATAGATAGGGTGCACATTTGTCAGCTATCCAGACAGGATTTTAAAATGTTTGCAATTAAGTCTTACATATTGGTGTGAATAAAAATGAAATAAAGCAATTAAGAGCAGAAATAATGTAATCCTTGGTCAATGCTGGATTAGCTGAGTTCAGATGTGACAAGGTACTAAAATTGATCTTTGTGCCCTAGAGAAACACTCAACAACTTTGGAAGATGAGAAGAAAATTAACAGAGGAGAAAGTAGAAATCACATTTTGTTCCAATCTCTCTGTACTCCTTTCATAAAAGTGGTAAATCATGTTAGCATAAAGTTAAATAAGTGGGGGCAGTTCTTGGATATTTCTCAAGTATCATTCCTCACTATGATTGTAACTAATAGTAGTCAGAGGATATGCCAGTATCATTATTAAACCTGATGCTGTTCCCATCTGGCTCTCATGCTTCAGCAGGGGTCACTGCATACCAATTACAAGCAACAGGAATCTCACACCCTTTCCCACTCATTTTCAATACTTTATCCTATCCTGCCTGAGCAACATCACAAACAATTTTATCAGTCTCTATGATGGTGTCTGCTCCAGAGACAGATGGTTCTCACTTGCGTAATATTTCCTAAATATGGCTGGTTGTCCCCTGGAATCCCATTGCTCTCTGAAGGAAGCAGATGGCAAATTGCAAATACTAAATCACATATTTTCGTTTGGGTATTCTTGTAGTTTCTGTACAATGAATGTATGGGCCCTTCATGTAAAATTTATAAACTAGAGGGCATTTGATTTTAATGTGATACTTAAGACTAGTTCTGCTCTATTCGCCAACAACCAAATTCCTTACAAAGTCTTGCTTACTTACAAATTAATTGTTGCTTCATAAGGTTTGGGTATCCACTACTTGTGTCATGCTATGGCTTACTAATATATGACACTTTTGCCTTTAAGTACAAGATCAAAGAGAATTCATACATGTTACCTTTGCCCTTGAGGAATGGTGATCCACAGGTTAAACTCACCACCAGTCATCTCCCACTAATGAAAGAGCAGCCCTCTAGGACTATGATGATTTTACTTTAAGAAAGGAAGGTTTTAAATTTTAGCTATTGACCATTATCTGGTCATCCATGCTGGAGGAGTGTGCTTGGATGCCAAGTGAGGATTGGCAGTAACTTATGAGGACTCCATGTCAAATAGCCCATTAACAGTCACTATCCATTCTCACATAGAGTCAGAGAGTCATACAGCATGGAAACAGGCCCTTTGGCCCAACTTGTCTATGCTGACCAGGTTTCCTAAGCTGAACTATTCCCATTTGCCTGCATTTGGCCCATGTCCCTCTACACCTTTCCTATCCACGTACCTGCCCAAATGTCATCTAAATGTTCTAATTGCACTCAGCTCTACCAAATTCCTCCGCCAGCTCGTCCTATATATACACCACTCTGTGTGAAAAAGTTGCCCCTTAGGTCCCTTTTAAATCTTTCCACTCTCACCCTAAAGCTATGCCTTCTAGTTTTGGATGCCCCTTCTCTGGAGTAAAGACCTTGACTATTCAACTTATCCATGCCCCTCATGATTTTGTAAACTTCTATAACTTCACACGTCAGCCTCCTACGCTCCAGGACTGAATAAAGTCCCAGCCTACTCAGCCTCTCCTTATAATACAAACCCTCCGGTCTCGGTAACATCCTTGCAAATCATTTTTGTACTCTTTCCAGTTTAACAACATTCTTCCTGTAGCAGGGTGACCAGGATTATAAACTATACCCCAAATGTGCCCTTATCAATGTCTTATACAGCTGTAACATGATGTCCCAACTCCTGAGCTCAATACAAGTGGAGGTCACTATCCATCAAACCACATTCTGTTGTGAACTGCCCATTGCAAAACAGGAAGGGTAAAAGCAGAAAATTGCGGGAGAAATACTAATATTTAAACTTTACAGCTGTATTATATAAATTAGATGCATGTTGGGAAACAGTGTTTACATCAAGTAAACCATTTCTGTTATAGTAATAGAACTTGATTATACCTGTAATGCTTAAGTTTTGAAGGGCTAGTGTCAATCTGTAGTTCGTTGTTAATAAAGTGTGTATTCTCCATTTGACAACACAGTATGACATCAAAATTTAACAAATTACTTCAAAGATTCTAGAGTGAAAGACAATGTTCAAACCTAGTTAGTCTTTTGGGTGATAGGTTATCTATTCCAATCTTAATTCTTTGTTTATTTTTCATTAAAGGAGTAACTTTTGACTTGTGCTTAGAGTAGGGAGGTTCTCCACGGACAGTGAACATCAAATATTCAAGCAGCAATGTAGATAATTTTCTGGTTGTTTGGTCAGAAAATAATCTTCAATATCACAGAAATCTCGATATGTATTTTCAGTGAGCGAGACTTCCCAGCAATAGTGAATATTGTTAAAGTTATTCCTCAAGTATTAAGTTACTTGGTAGGAATTTTATTTAAGTCAGAGGACTGTGGATTCAAACCTCATAAGTATTTGGATGCATATCCAGATGACAATTCAGTGCAGAACTGAGGGAGGGCTACCCTTTACATGAAATGCTAAACTTGGATCTTGTGCCTGATCCTTTGGCATTAGTTAAAGAACAGCAGGTAGCTTTGGTTTTCTGAAAAACATTGTCAGCAGCAGATTAACTAGTCATTTACCAGTAATAAATTTCCAAAGCATCTAAATTAGTTTCTGTATGTATTCTGGAAGATTTCCAATTTCCTGCCATTTATAGTCTGATGGTGAATCATCTTGTGAAGAAGACAAATTAACTGATGCATTTGATACTGTTCACAATTTTTTTTCCAACACATCATGCTAGTGATGAATTCAGGATTATAGAAATTCTCTGTTGGTTTTTAGCTGCGGACTTAGAGCAGTATCAGTTTGCTATGTTGATACTTGGGCAATAGTGATGACAATGTAGTTTAGCGTTAATCTTGCTAACCAAGCAAAAGCTACTGACATTCAAAACTGGTTTCTGTTTTCAAGAGGACTAATATTACAAGCATGCTTTAACATCTAGAAAAAAAGTTGATTTCATAACTTTATTGGAGTGAAAATTACTGTTGAGGCGATATGGGTAGTCAGTTAAACCACGTAAGTAAAAAAGCAGCCACCCAGGTTTAAAGAGGTCGTATGGCTAAACAAAACCAAAAAGTTTTTTTCGGATCTTTATGAAATAAAACCTTCGACACAATTGCTCATATAACAAGCTCACTGAGCATCAAGAGTTCACTCATTGTGAAATTGTTTGACATGTTTTTGAGGTAGAAAAATTATAGTACTATGTGAGTACAATGTTTAAATCAACAATATTAATCATATCTTTTATTAATTAATTTGAATGCACTGTGCTTACTTCACACAGTTATAACATTGTAAAATGTAATCAGTGTATATATGAAATCATATCAGCAGTACAGTGTACTAACCAAATCTCACTAATCTTATTTCCAGGAAGTGCATTTTGTCATTATTTGAGAAAGGGTCACTCGATCTGAAACGTTAACCCTGATTTCTCTCCACAGATGCTACCAGACCTGCTCAGTTTCAACAGCAATCTCTAGTTTTGCTTATAGTTATTCAATTATATTTCCATGTATTTGCTTTGTCATTGCTTGATCTTAAAAACAAATAAGGGTGTTCTACCCTGTACAGTATTAACTTCCGGCCCGCCAATCTATTTAGTGAGAACAAGTGTGCAAACAGGAGGGGATTGCGCCAGGTCTGCAGGCTCTGTGAAATCCCTGACAATAGGATCAGTCTTCAAGAGATTGCTGTCAACCTTTTGCGCTCACTAGGGGTCGTCGAATGTCAGAAAATCAATTTGGCCACAACAGGAAGGACGCGCAACTAAACACCGAGCCCTAGAAACACTCTGGGATTAACACCCGCAGTGCCTTTATACAATTACAAGTGTGTAAAATCAGTGAACCGATAGTTAAAGTCAGGAGGTGATGCCGGGACGAAGCAAAACAGTGCATTATAAAGTACGTTAGAAAGTTACAATTGGAGCATAAATGGTAAAGGCCACGCTATTTAAGGACATTTAATCGCCAGGTTACGGGATAATTTGAGGATTGATGGAGTGACGTCAGTACGTACCTTGATAGCAGAGTAATCTCCTTGTGGACGGTCTAATTTCAGAGGGGAATGGGCACGTTTCTACTCAGATGTGGCTATACGGTGCAAACACGGTGTTAACGTTTCAGCAAATAGCTCTCGGAATGAGTAAAGCGAGAACTAACATAAAAAGTCTTTAATAACAGCTCTGCGAGGCTCCTGAACTCCGCTGTGCGTTTCCGTGCATCTAAGGTATGTGCAGCAGTTGGCTTTTTTTTCTAAAAATGCCTATCGAACCCTCCGGAATGTCTATCCGTAAAGGTAGGGAGTTTTTTGGGGTAAACCTGTTCCACGGCGATTTTAAAGACCGATTGTGTTGTTTTCGGCTGAAATCTAAAACAATCCTTTCGACTGGATTTTGATCCTTTAAAAAAAATGGTAAGATGATGGAAAGGTGTATTTTTGCGGAAATCCCATTACTTTCAAGGTAAACTGAGCAACTGTGCGGCTACCTGTGGTTTAAGTATTTTCTGGTGATATTTCAGACTGACTCCCATAATATCACTCATTGTTGATTATGTAACCGCGCTGAAAGGTTAGAAAACGCCGTGCAGTAGATACATGCTAAAAGGATGTTTTAAACCGGCTGCCTATAGGTTGCACTTCGAGGGATCATAATGTCACTTAAAATTGACATTTACAGTCTAATCCTAAAGAAGTAGACATGCGGTCACATTGCTGTTGCCTTTTTTTATGTGAAACTAAATAAATCCAATCTAGGACAGGCGCTGAATTTTTCAATATTCTAGCATAAATTTGTTCATACCAAATGTTCACGCGTTTCAACAAACTTCTATGATATAGGACGAAAATTCTAGTTGGATCACAGTCTATATGATCATGCAGTAAAAACTTTCACCAGGAGGTAACGCACTGATATTGGCTACTAATAAAAAGCGTGTAGGGCTGCGCTATAAATGGGTCGCGGCGATCAGACTTTAGCAATTTACGATTCATTATTGCCTGATCTGCTGACATCTCTCTCACTCACACACACAAAGGACTCATCTTAATTTTTGTTTTAAGGGTATAATTTGATAGACGAGACGATGCGTCAGTGACATCTTTAGCAGAGACAGTTAAGGATTTAATCATTACTTGCTTCAGTTCCTATCTTGACTTGAACCGCTTATGGTTTTACCCTTCCCCCAACCCGGTGAAAAGCGATTAGACAGATATGAACTTGACTTAGCAGCAGCCCGTTGCAACAGATCTAACTGGCATATTGTTCTTACCGTAGTGTTTAGATTTGTTTTTTTTAAAATACAGGACTAGTTAGTTATCCGTATGGGGCTGGTACGCTGAGAATAACTTGCTGTTATGAAGTGATTTTAGCACAGCCCTCACAACAGCCAGCGCTGCTCTTGTCGCTGTATATACCACGTCATGAGTGTTTCAAGAACCAGGCGGCGTTTCCAGCGACACCGTCGAGGCATCTTTCACCTTCTCGCAAGATAAGCAAAACGAAGACGAAGTGCTTTGTTTGAATGAATTCTAGCAGCATGGGAATATCCTCTTGTCACTTCCGTTTCACTGCAACCCGTGTAAAACATCTTGAAAGCTTAGGTAATCAGTCCCATTACTTCTAAAACGAATAACATTAGAAGGTTGGAGGTTAAAGACCTATTGCAAAATTCACATCACTTCTTACTTGAAAATCATCACCAGTTTGAGACTTTGTTCTGCCTACACATTAAGTATCAAAGCATAAAGAGCTCTTTTAACTGAAGCTGATGTGAACAAACGACATCATTTTGTATTGTTATGATCTCCAAAAACACCCTGGCTTTTAAAAGCAAATTTGAACTCCCCATTTAGGATGGCATGACAAGATTTCGTTTTGGGATTTTTTTTTTTTACTGTGATAAGAGCATTGGCTGAACACCACCTTTGAGGTAAATGGACAGATTAAAACATAATTGTTCACAACTTGGCTTTCTCAACACATTGCCACTTTGGAGACTTAGTCTATTCACTGTTAGCACACACACTGCTGCCACCAACTCCAAGTGTAAACATCTTGCACATCCTATTAAAGTTATGTGCTATCTCTAACAATAAAACTGCGCATGCTTGCTGTCAGGTGGACTTAAGAGCTTAAGTGAGATGGCACTTAAATTTTACTTTAATTAAGAACACAACCCCAAAACCTATGAATCCTAAGCCTCACTAACAACAGCCTCAACTGACAGCACTAAGTAAACAGCATATACAATGTACACTGTTAATCAGACTACTAACTTTTCTTTGTCTGCAACTTTTAAACAGACGACATCACTAAATGTTCATTGACAGGTACAAAAAAACAACTAAATATGCCACCAAACTATTGGCCCTTGCGTCGAAGTGTGGGCTGCAATACAAAGAGAAATTATTTTGCAGTTTTACAAATATTCTCAGGTCCCGTCTGGAATACTATGTTCAGTCCTCCATATAGGAGCTAACAAAACTATATTATGCCCTTGGAGTGAACAGAAGACATACTTACAAGGATAATGCGGAGTAAAGGGTTAAATGACAATGGCAGGTTGGATAGATTAGACTTGTATTTCCATAAAATTGGAAACAAATAGGGGATCTATGTGAAGTGCTTACAATTATTAAAATTTTTCATGGGATAAATAGTTCAGGGAAACTTCTCTTCTGGGGGATCCAGAACCAGGGGTTACATCTTAAATTTGGAGCTAGGCCATTTGGATAGATGACGCAAAAATGCATTTCTTCATACAAAGACTAATGAAAACCTACAACTCTCTCCATCAAAATTAAGCACCCATCAGGCTGGATCAACTTAACGCCTTAAAAACGAAGTTAATTTTTATTTTGAGGATGAATATTAAGAGTAAGGGAGCCTGGGTAGTAAGGTGGAGATAAGACACAGATCAACCTTGACCTTATTGAATGATAGAACAGGTTCAAAGAGCAGGATTGTCTATATCCCTAAATATAATCCTACATGGCACAGTGACTCCGTGGTTAGCCCTGCTGCATCATGGTGCCAGGTACCTGGGTTCAATTCCAGCCTCGGGCAACTTTCTCTGTGCCTGTGTGGGTTTTTTTCAGGTACACTGGTTTTCTCCCACAATCCATAGATATGCAGGTTAGATAGATTGGCCATGCTAAATTGCCCATAGTGTCCTGGGACGTGTAGGTTGAGTGTGTTAGCCATGGGAAATGCAGGGTTACAGGGAGAGGGTAGGGCGGTGAGTCTGTGTGCAGTGCTCTTTGGAGAGTTGGTGTGGACTTGTTGAGCTGAATGGCCTGTTGCCACACTGTAGGGATTCTATAAAAAAAGAAGGTAAGTCCATTCGCCTGACAGTAACAGTCATATGTAAATCACATTTAACATGGTGAAATGTTGTCCAAATGTATTATCAAGTAGAATTTGAAAATATTTTCCCATTTTGATAGTTCTATTTGTCATTTGTTACAGTAAGTAGTATCAACTAAACACCATGTTTGTTGGAACTGGACAGTTTAAAGCTCAACTATTTACACCCTAATATTCTTAACACTCGGGACTTGAGACTTGCAGTCTATCCATTTATAGCACACAGTTTGCTGTCATTTTCTCCAAGACAAACATTTTGTTTCATTGGGAAGATGGTGCAATCTTTAATCTCAAATACACTTCACGATACACTGTATTCAAGTACACTGTCAAACAGGATTTGACAAAGCACTACATAAGAGTGTCACAACCAGTTCCTGAGGGTCCCCAATTTGATTTGACTTTGGATGAGATATTCTGAAAAGGGCAAGTCCCCAGGTGAAGCATGAACTAGTTTCCCTTTGGTTTGTCACACAAGGTTCATTGAAAATAAGAATTGCCTCCCTTGTGGAGACCTATTCTGAGTCCAAATAAATTTATGTTTTAAGATGAGCCAACTTAACTGGGCTTATGTTAAAGAGAGAGTGAGTTTTTTATAACTAGTAAAGTGAGGAAAAATAATAAAATACAACACATTCACAGAGATTAGAAATAAGAGGAGAGTCCCAAAAATAAGTGAAATAAATAGAATCAGTCTTGGCTTGTCCATGATGAATAGATCATGAAATATTGCATTTGATCAACAGTGACTGATAATGACTTAATTTCCAGCAGAAAGAGAATTTTGTTTTAAATCTGCATGCTCAGGGATGTCAGGTGGACATTCAAAGCCTGAGCTCCTTTACAGCACACTTTAACACTTTGGAACTTGAACCACAAGATAGCACACTGGCATGTCTACACCCTAGTACACACAGTCCAGAGGTTGCAGTTAATTTTTAACTCCCTCTTTGCATATTATTCAAATAGTAAAACATAAATACTACTTTTGCTCAGAACAGTGCTTTTTTCAGCTCATATCATATCCACAGCCTGTGACCAAGCCACAGGAGATCACAGTTCGGCTTTTTTTTTTAATGTGGGCATCTCTCTCTCTTTGAAGTGTTGCTGTTTGAAGTTCATTTGACACTGTTCAGGTGCAATATTCCATGATTCCTTGTGAGATTCAGGGGAATTCATATAGATTTTAGACAGCTTCTAACATTACAACCTCAGCCATATTTTGTCTTATATGGCTTTCTGTTAGAAACAAAGAAATGTTGTTTAAAAGTCCATTAAATAATTTGGGATATGATCTGTTGTTGTGACAAAAGATATTAAGACCGCTGGTAAAAACCAAAAGAACAAAAACAAAATTGCTGGAAAAGCTCAGCAGGTCTGGCAGCATCTGTGGAGGAGAAAACAGTTAACGTTTCGGGTCTGGTGATCCTTCTCAGTACTGATGGTGGCTGGGAAAACGTCAGTTTATATGCAGAAAATAGGGAGGTGGGTGGGGTAGGGAATAAACGATAGGATAGAGTCCAAAGAGAAAGACAGTTGGACAGACAAAGGAGTTGCTAACGATCAGGCTGGGAGGGTGAACAGTTGTTAATGGGGACTGTTAGTGACTACCAACAGGGACTGTGTAGTGGCAGGCTGTGGTAACAAGGCCTGGTGTGTGGGGTGGGGGGGGGGCTGGGACGTGGGAGAGTTTAGGCCCTAAAATTATTGAACTCAATATTGAGACCAGAGGGCTGTAGATCCCCAAGCAGAAAATGAGGTGTTGTTCCTCCAGCTTGTGTTGGGCTTCACTGGAACACTGTAGCAAGCCAGAAACAGAGATGTTGGCCAGAGAGGAGGGTGGTGCATTGAAGTGGCAGGA